TTATAAGACGCAAGCAGATTTTTACATCACATTTTGGGGTAAAAAAGTGCGTCTTATACACCGAACAGTACGGTAAAAGGAATGGGTATTTTTAAGCAAACGCAGCTTGCTTGGCTTTGTCCTTTGACAGCACACAGGGTTACAGGTTGTTTGTTGTTTTTAACCTTAGGAAAATATATCGTTAGACTTTTCTAGGGATAATCTTGTATTTGTTCTGACACCATAAAAATTATGTTTTTGAGTTGTAAAGACGTGAGAATGATCTGGGGTTTAGAAGATAATTGAAGACCAAGATGCAATTTTAAACTATTCAACTGGACCTTTTGATCGTTGACGGTTGTAAGGAAGGTATTCGTTTTTGAGTGCTGCTCCATGTTGCTGTCAGTGCCGTCTTAAGGTACTGGTGGGCCTTGAGCGATGTATAACCTAATCTTCCCCCCTTTGCTTACCATTGTTTTTACGAATATACTATACAATTTGATAAACTGAATTCATTAGTAAAGAAAAATTAGGGAAAGAAAAAATGTGTTTTTTAGCAATACTGATTTATTATTATTATTTTATTATGAACTTCATATTTTGTTATTTATTACTATACTCACAACGCGCGGTGAGCTCAGAGCAACTGCTCCTTTTGCCCATTTTATAAAACGGCCCTGATTGCTGTTAATTAGTTGTGTGGACCAGAAGTTTTGTTCCAGATATCCAGCGATCCGGAATTTACCATGATGATAGAGATTTTTTATTTGATGTTCAGTTGTTAATTTCACATGGTTAGTAACATTTTATATTGTATTTAGTTAGTTAATTGTTTGGACTTTTCGTTAGAATACAGTATAAGCCATATTACTGTTAGTTTGTAAACTTGAAATAATTATTGATTCTGTTCAGTTAGTTTACAATATACACTTAAATTACAATAATGTTATCCTAACTAATGTCAGTGGCAGGCTAGTTTTGGTTTTTGTTGAATTAAGCAAGAATAATAGGGCCCGGCATGGCCAGGTGGTTAGGGCGATCGACTCGCAATCTGAGGGTCGCGGGTTCGAATCCCCGTCCCACCAAACATGCTCGCCCTTTCAGCCGTGGGGGCGTTATAATGTGACGGTCAATCCCACTATTCGTTGGTAAAAGAGTAGCCCAAGAGTTGGCGGTGGATGGT